ATGTCACATTAAGTGACTTTTTGAAGCATATCGGCATTCGTTCATGAATATCAAATTATTGTACCAACATAGCATAAACGTCTCTATCACATTTACCTATAACATGCCCAAGCATAGTGACATTTATTCAAGGAGATCACATTCCCAAGCCGCACTGTATGATTTGATAAGCTAATAATACTAAAAAACAATTCAATAACGTATGTGGGCGTCAAATGATAAAATTAATCACTTTTAGCTTTTGAATCAATGATTTAAATTCATACAAACGAGCATCGTAAAAGTTCACATGTAGGTTATACACATATGTCTGCAGCATTCAACAATACCGTATATATAAACTCCAACACAAGCTCGCTTTTACATCGCATTAAAATAATCTTCTTATTCGTCATACTGAGCAATGTTTTGTTTATGTTCACGAACGCGTATGGATTGTTGCATGATAAGGTAAAATATATAATTCTCAATATATGAATCGCCTCAGATCTTCTTCGATAGACCGTGTCCAACACACTGAACATGAGAATGTATAGTTGACACCAACCAATGATGGGTTTGTTAGTCGTGAGTTCAATTGATTTGTTTGTTTATTCACTTATACATAATTCTGTCATTTTAAAGAAACCTTGCTTAAAGCAAGTAGCTTACAAGCATTTATAAATAAATGAGTTTATTTTCTGAACTATGTCAGAGCGGACCGAAGCAATGTTAGATATGTAGGTACCGTTAGAAAATTTTCACTCCACTGCGAACTACATATCATTTACAAACCAACCCCTGACTGAGGAAGTTGACAGAATTTTGACTGCCAATGCAGATTAAAAAATTTTTTTTTTTGAGTTTTAGTAAAATCTTTCATTGCACAGATACTTTTTTAAAAATATTCTTATTAACAGTTTATTCAAAAACATTTCGCATCCGGCAAATGGCAAATAATTTCAATCCAGAACTGTTGGCTGGAGTTTGTCCGGGGAAATTGAAACTGGAATTGTGAGTGATTTTTTTACATACAATAGCTTGTATAATCGATATAACCAATGCTATGCATCGATCTAAATCTATTGGTTTGGCATTGCAACCTAATTCATAAAGGTATTTATTTTGAGGTGGAAAGCACGGAATATAAACCTTAGATTTTTAACCTATGAGGACAACATATTTAGTTCTGAAGATTTAACTATTAGTCCCAACAAGTCTCTCATCAAGAAGCTAATATATATTCAAGATTTTGATAGTGTCAGACAACGCATTAGTCATCAAAACTTGAAAGCGTATATCGAAGCTTTAATCAGCTCTATCAAGCCCTAGTTCCGCGTGTTGATACTGGAATGGTATTTTACAACCATATCGAGGCAATTGTCTGTGTCATAATTTAAAATCTAAAATGGTAATAAAACAGATTTTCTAAAAAAGTTTTAAAATCATAGAGTTGGGGGTTAAAAAATGTTCCTTCGTTTTCGATGTAAATATCTGTTTTCTGCAAATTCCATAGTGACCAAGATCGAATTATTCTCTGTGATAATTCAGAAGTCGGAAATATTTTTATATAAACTCAATGTTGGGAGTCGAATACGCGTGTGATATTTTTTATACGTTTTAAAATACTTATTTTTGTTTCTACTTTTTTTCAGCCTTTTTCCATTTGTTATCACTTTTTCAGATTGTTGGTGGATCGGCCTACATAACTATGAAAAAAAGGGCAGAAGCTCCTATATCTATGCAAAAGCTGAGACAACTAAATATAGATGGAAATATAACTAACTAGTGATCTACGATTAGCCAAACAGTTATTTATTAACTTTTTACTTTGATATGTAGAGAGCATAACGTTTGTGCGTAACCTCAAGGACAAACAGACGAAGTGTTGACAGAATAAATTATATCACTTTTTTTATATAAGTTATTTTAAAAACTCGTGGCTTTAAAGTTAATGGGAAAAATATACCTGTATAATAATACCTGTAATAAATATAACGTTTTTTTGAAATTTTGGAAATTATTTTTCAGTATGAGCTAAATATGAGGTTTTCTTGTCCAAACGACAACAATATGAGCAAAAAGGTTTTAATATACGTTTTTTTAGTTTCTTATAGTAAACTGGTCCCCGGGAAAGGAAGCGGAAGAAAAGTTCAAAGAGTTTTGGTTTGAGGAAAAAGGGGTTCATATTATTCCAGTTTCGACAATTAGCTCGTCGTCGGGGACAATGCCTCGCATCCATTCTCAACTAACAGAAATCAATAGTGAGATTTTTTTAGGGAAGTTTTGTCCTTAATAGACTGTTTTATTTCTTTTTCTTGAAAATATGAGACACTATTCGATAATCATTATAGACGTGATATCGCTTTTGTGAGTGAGTGCCAATACATTCGTGTTAGTGTTCAGGAAAACTCAGTGTAAATACTTCCTTTCATTACATCGATGATTATGGAGTACTCACGTTACTCCAACTCAGTGGCGTAACTACCCATTGGATCGGCACGTTGCTGGAGGGCGGCAAAATGTGGCAAAACATTTTAAACGAAGCGGCAAAACGTTTTAAATGAACAACGGCAGTCACATTAATTTATTTTCAGAGAGACACCGACCTAAACGACCCAAGTTAACATTGAAGCCAAATAATTGTGACTCACTATGTGTTATCTGGGACGGCATAATGGTACTCGTGCTGTTGAAGTCATAATAGAATGTCGGTTGTAACTTTCAAGCTATTGCATTGTTCGGTCAATTAGCTTTTAGCTTTGGTAGTTAAGTTTGGTGCTCCCGAAGTATGCGAACCAAGATGGCGGACATCGGAACGTAACATGGGTAACAGGTTAGGGTTAGGCGATAATTATTTTCCATTTTTCCTTATTTTAGTCCTATTATCAGTTCGAAGACTAGCCAAGAGCCTCCCGTAGTACTTATACCTAAAATTATGGCCTAACCCTAACCTAGTACACATATTACATTCCGATGTCCGCCTATCTTGTTTCGCATACTTCGGGAGCCCCTTAAGTTTATATTAGTTTTCAGTTTATTTCACTTTTTCGAGAAGACAGGAAAGGACTGTGAGGTCATCGAGTCAACTGCTACTTTCACCATCTGTCTGTTATAGATAGACGGGAATTCTTCATGTGGCAGATGAGATAACCCGTTAAGTTTTTTTTTCCAAGGTCACGGACTTACAGAGCACCATGCAGGGAACCTGAGATTACCATTTTTAAATACTTTAGCATACATCGATCGACCCAGGGAATTCGTGAAAGGTTTAAAGTTTCAGGTCTGAAATATATCACTTAGCTTAGCTCATCAAATTCACAATAAGTTTTTTTTAACTTTTGTGCTGCAGATTCCAGAACAAGATTTAAGGACCAAATTTTTAAGTTAACTTTTTACTATGAAGAGAGTAAGAGAAAGTGTAGCACTTTTCAGAAAAAAAAAGAAAGTTAGAGAAGAGAGACTAAAAAAGAAAGAAGGAGCCATTTTGAAGTTTGTCAAAATTGCCTCTGCCAAAGAAACAGAAGAGGTTAGCAGTCACAGTAAATCGCTACCTCAAATTGAAACGGAAGAAGAAGTGGACCTCGAGCAAAACGACAACGAGGTGATCACTGAAACTGATCACGAAAACATTTCGCATCCGGCAAATGATTTCAATCCAGAACTGTTGGCTGAAGTTCGAAAGTACGGGGAAAATGAAATGGAATTGTGAGTAATTTTTTTACGTACAACAGCTTGTATAATCGGCATAATGCATCGATCCAAATCTATTGGTTCGGCATTGTAACCTAATTCAGAAAGGGATTTATTTTGAGGTGGAAAGCACGGAATATAAACCTGAGATTTTTTAAATCATGAGGACAACATATTTAGTTCTGACTATTTACCCATTAGTCCTAACAAGTCTCTCATCAAGAAGCTGATATATATTCAAGATTTTGATAGTGTCAGACAACGCATTAGTCATCAAAACTTGAAAGCATCAGCCTGTGAATGAAACACTTTTAGATAAAGATAAAACAGATAATATCTATTATTTTCATAACGATGTGGCTACTTGGCCGGAAGTATTACCTCATGACATGAGAGTTTAGCTTTAGATGATCAAATCAGGGCCCGAAAGGTTTCAAAATAAAGAAGGGCCATTCAAGCCAGCGATTAGAATAATTAAAGGAAACAACGAGAAATAATCCCTAAGACGATAAAGAATGGTGATGAAGTTCTCAGATTATATTTCCTATACTCGAATAGCCACTCAGAATTATATTGTTTCTGTTGCAGGTTATTTCAATCGAGAATTGATAATTCTTCATTTGCTTTCAAACCTTTTGTAAATTTTTGGCATCTTAATCCGCGCATTTCTAGTAACGAAAATTCAAAAGTTCACAAACAGTGCTTTGATAAATGGAATGAGCTCGCACCGAGGCTTCAGGTTCATCAAACAACTGACAAATAAATGCAAATTCTTATAAATAAGTTACAAAATAGATGGAGAGAAATCTTGCAAAGCATAAACGCAGTCATAGTTCAGTTCAAGGAACCAGGGGAATTTTCTTGAAACGTTAAAACTCCTTGCAAATTAAAGTACAGTCATTGACGAACACATTTTTGGTACCCAACTCTCTAGAAAGGGCATGGCAACGTACCTTTAACCAGCTATCCAAAATGAATTAATCGAGCTTCTTACATTTCTTTCCACTGCACGGAAAAGGTGCATACGAAATGACCAAGTCTATTCTTTGTGTATTACTTTGTGATCAAAATGAAAACATTGATACACGAGGACAAGCGCGTGGAATCTTGGATGCGATTCAGCGTTTTTTCTTCGTTTCGTTTTTACAATTCTGGTTGGAAGTCCTAAGAGAATCTCATGACAGAATTTTTACAGCGGAAAGGTCTGTCTCTGGAAGAATGTACCCACAAGATGAAAGCATTCATTGTTTTTTTGAACAATAAGCGCAATGGTGTGATAAAGCAATGCATTAAAAGAGCGATTAAGATCTGCAAAGATCAAGAAATACCGATTGAAGAGAGACGGGTCGGAAAGAAGAAAAGTATGCCTGGCGAATATGCAGAAAACGTAGGTCTCTCGGCTGTTGAAGAAGTCAAGAGATGCATGTTAGAAGCTATGGACCGGTTTCGGAGTGTGGCGGAAAAGCGTTTCACTCCTTGTTGCGAAGTGACAGTATCGAAATAAAAATGGGAAAATATATGCTGATGACGTAAATTTCACCGAGTTAAGACTAGAAATCTGTAGGTTTAATCGACAAGTACAATCAGGTGGTTTTACATTTTAAAATGACGCTACAGCGCTGGACGTTCTGCAGTGGTTAAGCAAACATCGTTTATGTGAATCAACACCTTATTTATTTATGAGTCTTAGGCTTTACCTCACTGTTGCCTGCGAAAGAAGTTTTTCAAAACTTGAGTTGATAAAATCTTACTTGAGATCGACTATGGACGAAAGCAGGCTGTCTGCGCTAGCAATACTGTCCATTGAAAGTGATTTAGTCGAGACATTATCTTTTGACGATATAATTTCTGAATTTTCTTCAATGAAAACTAGACTTCTTGAATTTGGAACTCTCAATAAAATTTAACAATTTCTGCTTTAATTTTTTTTTGTGTGGAATTCTATTCAGCTTTTACGATGGTGTTTAGGGGGCGGCATTTTGTGCCAAGATCCAGGGGAGCCACATTGCGTTGTTACGCCACTGCCCCCACTGATAGTAACAGAAAAATATCGAAAATATTAACATATAGTATAGTCTATCACTATCAGCTATTACCATTTTGATGCATGGTGTGAAATAACGTAAATACGTTTTTCAAATTCTTCATAGCATTGGATATCACGATTTCATATGAAATCAAGAAGAATGGCAGCACGAGTTACCGCGATAAGTCACAGCAATAAAGACGCGAAGACTACGAAAATAATTGACAAATATTAGCATTATCGAAAAAATTCAATCTCAGTATTGACAACATTATTATCTGGATTCCGACCTCTGATCCTCCTGCCAACTTATTTCTACTTCCTGCATAATCCTCATCTGAATCACTATTACTCCCATCGTCATTATCGCTCTTGTCACAATCCCAAATAGTGAGTACATCTTCAAGACTGAGTCTCCTTCTACAGCCAACCTGCCTCAATGCCATTATCCGAAATTGCTTCACGTTACTTATTGATGCTCTTAAAACTTGCACGCTCCACAAGCTGAATAAATTCTTAAAATTACGGCCATAAAATCCTAAAAGAGACTCCGTAAGTGCAAAACTTTTCATGAAAATGAATATGTTCAAGTACCCGCAGTGACACCCGTGTCACCACAAATTTTTATCAGCGTCAAGAGAAATTGAGTGTATGCATTTACATTTAATAAAAAGTACCAAACTAAAATAAACTGTTTCTGAATTAAAATACGGTAATTTTTAAAATTATATCTTACTTTAAATTTTCAAATAATTGCTCCAAACTTTTTCACCCAAGGGGTACATGTGACGTTCTTTCAGACAGGTGGTAAAAAGACCACGCCTCCGGAATCAGTGCGACACCAAGTGTTAAATACCAGGTGTAAAGCCCTTTGCATTGTGGGAGTTACTTTCCACAATCGAGTACACGTGCGTGTGCAGTCTAGGTTTCAGAACACGGTGACACCCGTGTTACCTGGGGTTTTGTAGAGTTAAAGTTCTGAAGCTTTGGAAGAAGTTTTTTCCTTCCGAGATACTGCATCAACTTAGCTTAATAGGGAGCAACTTTATCCCGTTCGATCCAGCATCGATTATACCTCCTAAGCATGAGGGTCTACACGAAACTTATCGTCAATTTTCTGACTTCTTCTCGGATGCATTTGCGAAGGTTTGTATTTATTTTAAAATACATATAATTTTTTTTACCTTACTGTAATTTATTTACAATTTTCACCGCCTACTTCATTTCAGTCTCAGGAATGCAGATTTTACGCTCAGCCGTCATTCCACTACAACCCCAGCGAATCTCAAGATAACCGAACTATATCGTAAGTTGTTTCAGATCTATTTTTGAGTTTCTTTTTTATTGCGCCGTTTACATCATGTAAGTGGTCACTGATCTGTCGGTATGTAATAAGCTACATGTTATTGAATAACTTGAATTTTTTCATGTTTGCCATTGCTAAACCAATTTTGTGCACCCTGGTGAAATTAATAAGAATTCAATGCGTGTTGATCTCGTAAAATTTAGGTCAAATTTTAAGCCAATAGAGCATTTCAATATGATGTTTGAACGTCTTATACAAACTAGATTAATAACATTTTTACCAAAACATGATGTAGAAAACAATTACCAATTTTGTTTTCAATATTATCAATTTAGGGTATTGCAATTATATAGAAACGTAAATATTTATTGACAAATCTTAAAATGGCCTTTGACACTGTTAATCAGGATCTCGTCATTCACATGTCGTAGAATTATGGTATCGGAGGAATACCCAATAAACTCTCTAGTTACTTGAGTGATTGAAATTAACAATTTTTTGGTATCTATCTGTGACTAGATGGGTTCCACATATATTGGGCCGTCTATTACCCTTTGTCTTTATTAATGACATTGCTAATGTTCATTGTTTTTCTTAAAAAATTTTTACTGATGAATCGTGTTTTGAGGCAAATCTCTACAAGCTCTTAAATCAATCAAAAGCGAACCTTGGGGTTTTAAAAGTGACCAAAGGCTAAAATTGATCAACAACAAACATTAACAAATACAAAATTATGGGTATTTCACTAGACAAATTTAAACACAAATCAATCTGATAATTTTATTTTTTAACGCCAGAATTATGTAAGTATGTTGGAACAACTCACAAGCTCCGGTATTTTACATATGTGACAACTTTACATAAGCATGATTTTTCATCATCTGTACAATAGTCGTACATAAGCATGATTAACCATAATCTGTACAATAGTCGCATCAATATGGCATTCTTGTGAGTCGGCCGAAAAACTCTGTACATCGAATTGAAATTGTACAACATAAAGCCATCCGTCCTGCCTCTGTTGGATGTCACAACTCAATCTCATCTATTCCAGACTTTAAATTCTCAATATTTATCAACTAGAGGTACTAAATATTAATGCACGAACATAGCAAAAAATTCCATGTCACATTAAGTGACTTTTTGAAGCATATCGGCATTCGTTCATGAATATCAAATTATTGTACCAACATAGCATAAAAGTCGCTATAACATTCCTAAGCATAGTGACATCTTTTCAAGAAGATCACATTCCTAAGCCGCACTGTGTGATTTGATAAGCTAATAATCTCAAAAAACAATAACGTATGTGGGCGTCAAATGATAAAATTAATTACTTTTAGCTTTCGAATCAATGAATTAAATTCATACAAACGAGCATCGTAAAAGTTCACATGTAGGTTATACATATATATCTGCAGCATCCAACAATAACGTATATATAAACCCCAACACAAGCTCGCTTTTACATCGCATTAAAATAATCTTCTTATTCGTCATACTGAGCAATGTTTTGTTTATGTTCACGAACGCGTATGGATTGTTGCATGATAAGGTAAAATATATAATTCTCAATATATGAATCGCCTCAGATCTTCGATAGACCGTGTCCAACACACTGAACATGAGATTGTAGAGTTGACACCAACCAATGATGGGTTTGTTTGTCGTGAGTTCAATTGATTTGTTTGTTTATTCACTTATACATAATTTTGTCATTTTAAAGAAATCTTGCTTAAAGCAAGTAGCTTACAAGCATTTAGAAATGAATGAGTTTATTTTCTGAACTATTTGATGTTAGATATGTAGGTACCGTTAGAAAATTTTTACTCCACTGCGAACTACAAATCATTTACAAATCAACCCCTGAATGAGGGAGTTGACGGAATTTTGACTGCCAATGCAGATTAGAAAATTTTTTTCAGTTTTAGTAAAATCTTTCATTGCACAGATACTTTTCTAAAAATATTCTTATTATACAGTTTATTCAAAAACATTTCGCATCCGGCAAACGGCAAATAATTTTAATCCAGAACTGTTGGCTGAAGTTCGAAAGTACGGGGAAATTGAAACTGGAATTGTGAGATATTTTTTACGTACAATAGCTTGTATAATCGGCATAACCAATGATATGCATCGATCTAAATCTATTGGTTTGGCATTGCAACCTACTTCACAAAGGGATTTATTTTGAGGTGGAAAGCACGGAATATAAACCTGAGATTTTTAACCCATGAGGACAACATATTTAGTTCTGAAGATTTAACTATTAGTCCCAACAAGTCTCTCATCAAGAAGCTAATATATATTCAAGATTTTGATAGTGTCAGACAACGCATTAGTCATCAAAACTTGAAATCGTATATTGGAGCTTTAATCAGCTCTATCAAGCCCTAGTTCCGCGTGTTGATACTGGAATGGTATTTTACAACCACATGGAGGCAATTGTCTGTGTCATAATTTGAAAATATAAAATGGCAATAAAATAGCTTTTCTAAAACAGTATTAGAATCATTGAGTTGGGGGTTAAAAAAATTTGCTTCGTTTATGGTGTAAATATCTGTTTTCTGGAAATTCCATAGTGACCAAGATCGAATTATTCTCTGTCATGATTCAGAAGTCGGAATTATTCTTAAATAAACTCAATGTTGCGGGTCGAATACGCGTGTGATATTTTTTATACGTTCTAAAATACTTATTTTTGTCTACTTTGTTTTCGGCATTTTCCCATTTGTTATCACTTTTTAGATTGTTGGTGGATCGGCCTGCATAACTATGAAGAATAGGGCAGAAGCTCTTATATCTATGCAAAAGCTGAGACAACTAAATATAGATGGAAAGGTAACTAGTGATCTACGATTAGCCAAACAGTTATTTATTAACTTTTTACTTTGTTTAATTGATATGTAGAGAGTATAACTTTTGTGCTAACGTCATAGACAAACAGACGTTGAAGTGTTGACAGAATAAATTAAATCATTTTTTTCATATAAGTTATTTAAAACTCGTGGCTTTGAAGTTAATGGGAATTTCAGTATAAGTTAAATATGAGGTTTTCTTGTCCAAACGACAACAACATGAGCAAAAAGTTTTAATATACGTTTTTTTAGTTTCTTATCCTTACGCTCTGAGGAAAAGTTATGCCAATCTTATTTTGAAAACCATCAGTGTTTTATTTGATTAGCTTCGTATTGAAAAAAATTGATTTAGTCTTAGGTCGCAGAATCACATGAATATCCATATTTAATTTTGTCAATACATTCTTTCGTTATATACAGATATTTTCTTGCGATTGTAAAGGAAATAAAATAGTTGGCAAACCACGATTAGATTCATTGTAAGGTACCTTATTTTATAAACCATGTACCTATTTTATAAACCATAAGTCACATTTATTTATCCGATCCGTCTCGAATCGATCGTTATTCTGATAAAGCTAACGTAAGACTCCGGTAGCGAGTTTTGCCTTGCCTTCAATCAAAACCACTGCCAATACCGGCTAAGTCTGACATCCCGATGAACATAATATAAAAATAAAATTAATCAATTAATCTGGTGTGCCTCTTGGTCGATAACATGCAAAATGCATGATCAAAATTTAAAAAATATATATTATATATTATAAAAATAAAAAAAAAGTTTGGATAAAAATTATTGAAGACTCGTGAAGAGGTCCTCAATATCAACTTCGTATTTCAGGACCAGGATGGTTACGAACAAGACAAGAGCCAGGACCGTCCGGACGAAAGACAAATCCTGAGCCCCCTCGACCACGACCTCCCAGAACTAGTCCAGGACCCCCCAGAACAAGTCGAGTAATTCCCCGATTCCGACTATAATGATCAAAGCCAGGACCTTTTCAATCAAGGCCAAGTCCAGGACCATCGCGATAAAGGCCAAGTTCATGAACGGCGGGTAATCATCATGAGTGTGATGTAATTGTCTAGAAACATTTTTGTATAAACATGGTTTTCTTCTATTTACTTAAATTGTTCCTAATTATTAGGCGACCAATCCACTAATCCAGTGGCTGGTTTTTCGTCCATTAGTTCCGACTTTCAAAATCGCTTACTGTAAATTTAGAGGTTAGTTCACCCTCATCAACGTGGTGTTCTTGGCAATGCTGAATGTCGACTAGAACGCAACTTATTTCTGCAACAATCAAGCTTGTATATATATATATTTTTTATATTTCAACTAAATTAAATTTTTTGATTTGTTTTGTTGAGGTTTGCAGTTAGCTCGTCACAATATTCCAATTACAATGGTTTATTCCAATCAATTAACCTGGTGTGCCTCTTGGTCGATAACATGCAAAATGCATGATTAAAATTTAAAAAATATATATTATATATTATAAAAAATAAAAAAAAGTTTGGGTAGAAATTATTAGACTCGTGAAGAGGTCCTCAATATCAACTTCGTAATTCAGGACCAGACAGACCAAGACATGGACCCGAATGGTTACGAACAAGAACAGAGCCAGGACCGTCCGGACGAAAGACAAATCCTGAGCCCGCTCGACCACGACAAAGACCTCCCAAAACAGGTCCAGGACCCCCCAGAACAAGTCGAAGTTTTAATATAAAAAAAAAATGTTTTAATGCTTTTTTTAGTTTCTTATAGTGAACTGGTCCCCGGGAAAGGAAGCGGTAGAAAAGTTCGAAGAGTTTTGGTTTGAGGAAAAAGGGGTTTATAATATTCCAGTTTCGACAATTAGCTCGTCGTCGGGGACAATGCCTCGCATCCATTCTCAACTAACAGAAATCAATAGTGAGATTTTTCTTTAGGGAAGTTTTGTCCCTAATAGACTGTTTTATTTCTTTTTCTTGAAAATATACGACACTATTCGATAATCATTATAGACGTGATATCGCTTTTGTGAGTGAGTGCCAATACATTCGTGTTAGTGTTCAGGAAAACTCTTAAAATCGCATAGTGTAAATACTTCCTTTCATTACATGCATGCGGATTGTACAGATCAAGCGCAAATCGATGAT